CTTCCAAGAGTAAAAAAGAGAATTTTCCAAAAACAACTTGCATTCTATTACTTGAATTCTTTCGTTGCCCTAACCATCCTGAAACTAAGCAGGAGTATTTTCAAGAATACGACATTCGTCGCTGTGCCAGACTTTTCATCCTCTTGAAAGATATTTTTGTAAACCATTCATGAAAATTTGTTGTTATTTTTTCCTGTCAAGGAGAGTTTGGGAGCAAGCACTACACAGTAGAGTTTTATTATTATAAAAGAACAACAACGATTGCTCCTAAAGTGTAAATTTCTGAAAGCTGGATCACTAGCTTCCGTTCTATTACGTTCGGTTTGCTGGTTGATAGTAGGCGGTACCGTTGACAGTGGTGGTCAAAGTCCCATTGGCATTGAAGATGTTAATCAATACATCAATGGAAAGGTGAAAGCCATCGGGACTTGTAGTTTTCGTGCTGTTGTTCGGTCCCGTCTGAACAAGGTCCGAAAACCAGTCAATTTGGCTGACCGTAGGACTTGGAGCGTTCATACTGACCTCTTCGGATCCAGTGAGGACATTGAGTCCATCGTCGCAGAAGTCATGGTAGACCACCGATACAGTTCCAACCATTGTTCCGGCGTCGTTGTTGATAAGCGTCACGTTGGCCCAACCGAAATGCTTCCCAAGAAGGACGTAATTGCCCGCCGGCGGGTAGGCGAGTACGGGAGTTGAACTACCAGGCTCATACTTCACTCCCCAAGGAACGACGTCGGAAATCGGCTCGACTACTTGAGATTTGAGTGGCGTGCGGCTGGTGAGATGGGCAAGCATCATACGATAATTCCGACCACCGGGCTCGGTGGAGTTGTAGCACACCAATGGGTTGATTCCGCCGCACGAGGGTGAAACAGTGTGGGACTGCCAATAGACGATGCGAGTGCCATCGGGCGACCACTTTGGATCAGCCATGCCATTCCACTCCGGGTCATTGATGCTACCTGGGCTCCCATCTCCGGCTGCGTTAATCTTTTGGCCAAAATAAGCGCTTCGATCGCCGTAGTAGTCAATCAGATAGGGCTGGAAGAATCGACGTGCTCCGTTGTTACGAGTTGAAGACGTAGCGCTGGAGCTGACTATGTCGGTCAATGGAGGGATTCCTCGCATACCAGCCATAAACATCTGTCGTCCAGAGCCCCTAGTGTCCATGACAACCGTCCACTGGTCGTCAGGGGAGATGTCCATCGGATCGACGTATTCTGGGTGGCTTGTAAGTCGGCGGACTTTGCCCGTGGTGAGATCGGCGGCAAACACATCAATGTTGGATGATTCGGCTGGAAATCCAATGTAAGTAACCTCTCGGCCAGTTCCACTAAAGCCACGTAGTTCACCAACTACGACAGATTGAGGGTTGATGTGAAGTAGACTGCTGTTGTCCCGATCTACAGTGACAGGTTGAAGGGCTTCAGGGTCGTAGAGTCGATAGACGTTGACTAGATCATAACGAGGAGATAGAGGCGTACCCCAAGTCGGAAAGGGATTGAATTGCAACCTTCCCATGTAGCCATACTGGCCAATTTTGCCGTTAAGGATTGTAAAGGAGTTGAAGCCCAGGTGTACGTTGTCCGGATGTAAGCGCAGCTCGCGAATGTTGCCACCAGGTCCAGTAGCGTTCGTCGTCGTATTCCAGCGGATAGGGTAGATGTGAACTTGATCTGGAGTACACGCCGCGTCGATGAGATTACTAGTACATTCAATGATGTTCGTACCGGCCAAGAGGCGTTTGCCGTCAACGAAGGCCTGGGGGTAGTCCATCGTTAGCGAGCGTCCGATCGTATTTTTTCCTGGCACACCACAAGTGATACATTTCCATGCATCACCGTTAGAAAATGTACTACCGTCGGTCTTCACTAGGATTGATTGCACGCCGGTAAAGATACTAGCCGGATCAGGCGCGGCCGGAGCGCCAGTGAAGTTGACCGTCACCGTGACGTGAAGACCATCTGGTAAGAAAGCTCCAGACTGGAATACCGTCAGAGCTTGACCTATGCAACCAGTTCCGTGTGGGTTGATATCAAAAGTGCAACCACCCTCGGCGTCGTTGGAAGTAACGGGTGGAAGCGGGAGTTCGGTGATGGTGATCGGCTCAGGTTCAGGAGGTGGTGGAATGTCGGTGCCCTTTACAACGCATCCACCGGAAGCCTCGGCTGCGAAGAGAGCCAGTACGAAAAAGTTTAGGAAAAGCATGATGACAGAGGAATGGTTGGAAGTTGATTGTCCCACTGTTCGGCGTCGACTAGACACAACTACGGACAGAGATGAAAATGATGATGATTCTTTAGATAATCTATGGATAGATATTCTCATTCGTTTTCGAGTCGATTGCTTTCATCCTCGTAACTATACGATTTTCTCGCTGAAGGGATGCAGGAGAAGGTGAAGAAGAGAAGACAGCAGAGAAACCTTTCACGCTACTCACTCTTAAAATATGAGTCTCCTAATGCAAATAAAAGGTTGATCGCAAACTATTTTCTTTTGAATTTCTGGATTTTGAGAGAATACTTCCTGATCTAGTAGAAGATTGCCGAGGTACAGGAGATCGCCACAAACGTAAGTAACAAGTAACTCTTTTTTATGAGGAAAAAAGGCTGCTAGAGACCTTGTGACCTTGTCTCTATTCTTAATTATAGTCTAACAAATATGGTGAACTGAACTGGTAGCATTAAAAATCGTAATTTGTAAAGTTTTTTCAGCAGAAAAAAAGCTACCTCGATTCTTTGAACCAGTGAACAGAATTTTTGGAGTTTTCATCTTAGTACCAACAAGAACAGGCATCATAAACCAAGAATTTACAAGGGTCACTAATGCTCGCTTGAGTAAGCAGGTAGGTCGTTTTGTTCTAAGCTGAAAAACTGTAATTACTATTTATACAAAATGCGTGATCTGGCACAAAAATTTATCGTATGCTTCTGAATCTGTGTGCTGAAAAAGAAAGGATTCTATCGTTTTTGTAAAGGTTTTGACTTACAATCCGTCATTGTGTGATAAAACGTTGCAGAGAAGAGCGTAGAATAGGTATGTGGTTCTTCTTCTACTTGTCGTTCTCTTTTATAGGCCGGTGTACGGGAGAACCGAAAAAGAAAAAGATACCGCTGAAGTGACTAATGCGCGTGTTCTGTTGATATCATGTACGATTTGTGACCCTGTACGACAGTAAAGTACGATTTGTGATTCTGTACGACAGTAAAGTGCGGTTTGTGATTCTGTACGACAGTAAAGTACGATTTGTGACCCTGTACGACAGTGAATGCGCGTGTTCTGTTGATATCATGTACGATTTGTGACCCTGTACGACAGTGAATCTGAATCCCATGAATTGTCATGAAACTTTTAAGAATAAGATTTCAACTGATGTGAAGTGAGATCACTTCTTATCTTTTCAATGATCTGTGAACGATAATTAAATCGCGCATGGAAGACACTTGCTTCATCACCGATAAAATAATTGGTGATCACATTCTCGTCGACTTGACCAACACAATTCACGAGCGTATCCTGTGTGCAGTTGATGAGTGCACCATTTGAACTTTGGCAAAACTCTGGTTTTCTGTGTATTTTTGTGAATTTGAAAAGCTTTGAAAGTTCGTGTATCGATGCAGTTTTTCATGCTGATCCTGAACGATGTCATAAAAAAAAATGCTTTTTTTTCAATTCCAGCCACGTTTTTAATCGGATATTCCTCATTCGTGCGTTCGTGCGTTCGTGCGTTTGGAAAGACGGACAGTTGTAGGATAATAAATCTGACAAAGAGGAGCTACCAGCCAAGTGCTTCCAGTTTCGGAAGAGTCCAAAACTTGCTGATAGTTACTAGGCGCACCAACGGTAAGAGAGAAGAAAAATTGGCTTAAGGACCGGCCTATTGTTACTCATCAGCAATAGCCAGGTTGAAAGGAAATTGCTCTGAATAATTTTTAGCATAGGCTTGCAAAGTTCAAAACTTTCTTTCATTACACTTTAACGAAAGTCCGCATGGTACCAAAGCTCGGGAAGACAGTAAGTTCTTCAAACGTCTCACATAAAATTTTCCTTTGAAAATCCACTCAGTATACGGCTAAGGTAAATACGGCAAAACGTGGCTGTTCAGCAACAAAACTACTCTCCACATAATTTTAATCGACAACACAATCCAAGTATTAGCCGACTTAGCGCTTATACTTCTTTTAGTTGCACTAGCCAAGATAATTAACTGGAAACTATTTGATATTCCAGTACTAGACTTCTGCAGATCTTTTAAGACCTTGTAGCCTTTCCAATAGAAAAACTAACAAAAATTAGCGACAACTACATACGGCTTCCTGTCCTATGTTCCGACCAAAAATACACAGTTCTCAGTTTGGTCTCTATAGCAGCAATATCTAAGTGTTTCTTGCTCGTTCGTGTTAGCAACATCATTTCGAAAACCCTTATAAAATGAGGGTGAGGGTACATGACGTAATGGTCCAGAAGGTTTCTCTCCAACCGACCTTTATCATCAGGAAGAAGAAGATCTTGCGTCTTCAATTCAAATTCTACCAGGCAGCTGCGTGATTCACATATACCATAATTGATGCTCCTAACCACATAAGGGTTTCTTAAGTCAAACTTGTGACCGATTATCTAAGTGGTATGGCCGGAACACATACCTCGTTCGAAGCTAATATAACTAAACGTTTTCGTACAGTGTACTATTAAAATGCATTTTAATGTTCATCTAGTACATAAATTTCGCTCTATGGAAAGTTAACAACTAAGCTTATATCTGCACTATATGTCAATAGTAATTAGACAGAAATACGTCTATAGTTATAGGTTGACATCTTCACGAAAGACACATCTCTGGAAAGGAGGCCATTAAACAGAAATTGTTTTCTTATTTGATATTTTCTCACCACACAACAGCCGATTACATTATTCACTTCAATATAGTTTCTTTGTTTACATTTGTTTTTTCCTTTAATTCATTTCCACTAAAACAATACATTAATCTATATATCGCTATGATATCATCTTCATCAGAAATCGAATGGGATTGTCCTGAATGTCAGACTGCTATAACTGATCGACGAAAATATTGCATTAGTTGTCAATCAATGCTGATTTGGACATGTGTTCCTTCTGGAAAATCAGGTTTATACAGCAATTACCATCGACATCGCAACAGATGTAACTATTGTACATCAGAGCTTGAAGAAGAACGACAGCAGTTGAAGATGGAAAATCGGCTCTCAAAATTTCAAGAAATTGAAATATCGGATAATGGTAAGAAATATATGCGTTTAGTGAGCATTTTAACTCCTAGTCTATTGTGTGGTGTGTCTCGAATACATAATAACAAAGCGTCGGAATTTTTCTAGTGGTTTTATATTCTAGAGCAACGCCCCTGGTCCGAGTGGAGTCGTAGCGATGAGTCATGTACACAACATACAGGACACGACATCGAACAAGTGCAACAATTATTCAACATGTGCGAACAATCGCTGATCGAATTTTGTATGAATAGAAAACAACAACATACAACAGATACAAATATTAAATTTTTATCGCCTATCAATTCACTTGCAGTTACGCTATGGTATCTGAAGCATTATCACTCTGAGCGTTATATAGCAGCAAAGTTAAACTTCAGTAAATCAACAGTGAACTATTTTTTATCTGCAGTGATAGATGTATTATATGCATCTGCATATCCGAAGTTAATTTTATTACCTGATGATATGGATAATGAAGCTACAGCGCATGGGCCTGAGCCGCACCACAAGCTAATTGTTGATTCTACCTTTATTGCAATTCACCAGCCAGAAGATTCTGACCAACGTAAAGCGTATTATCATGCAAAAAGCCCAACAAACTATGCATTTAAAATACAGATAACTTGTGATTTTAATCATCGAATAGTTCATGTGTGCAAATGCTATCAAGGCAGTGTACATGATATTACTGTTCTAAGAGAATCAGGGTTATTGGAACATACAGAAGAACATGTTCAAATCATCGCCGACAAAGGATATATCGGTGAACAATATGTCATAACCCCAAGAAAGAAACCTCGTGGTGGCGAATTAACACCTGAAGATAAAGATTTCTATCGATCAATTTCCAATGCAAGAGCAGCGATCGAAAATATCAATCAACGTATTAAAAGTTATGCCATTTTAGGAAGTATTTACAGAGGTGCCTATGATGATTTTGATAAGATTACTCGAATTACACATGTAGTCTCTGCACTTTGTAATCTTAAGTTAAGTAAACATCCTATTCGAAGTGAGAGATAATGATACAGTTTCAGTCATTACTAATCGATTTTTTCTAACTAATATTTGTTATTTCTCTATTTCGTTGTTTCAGATAAATAAAATGAGCTGCGGTGGCAAATCTGATAAAAGTGCGTTTTCAAGAAAGACTCTATAAAACTATCTGTTTTTTTCGGATTCGGATAAGGTATATAGTCGAAACTATAGCGGTTCATTAGCTCTTTATTAGTACTATGTCTGGTAAAAAAATCATACGTTTTGGTCGAGAATAGAAACTATGCGATGAAAAATAAATCGGGACTTCCGGCCAGGTTGACCAGCCCCATATATATATAGGGTGTGGGTGGGGGGTTTAGGTGAGGATGTGGGTCTTTAGTGTGGGTGTGGGGATTGAATGAGGCTGTGTCTGTTTGGTGTGGCGGTGAGTGTACATATAGATTCTCTCTTCACGTACTCACAGCCACCCACTCAACCCTACACCCCCCACACCCACCTCACACCTACACCCATATACCCACCCAAAACTCGTTTTTTCAGGTGCCTTTGGGTATCGATCCTAAAATTCGCACGCTAGCTCAGAAAGTGAACTCTGTGAACATGTCTTTTGATCTATTGATGGTTAGTATACAAATGGAACTTGAATCTGGAATATGCTAGGGAAACTTCCATTTTTGACTCATCTAAATCGAAACTAATGAATTTTGCTTTCTCAAGGAATACTAAACAAATTGAGATCTATCATCTTGGTAAATTATCCTATTTAACGCACGTCAAAAAGCAACTTATGCAACACTTTGCACGCATTGTTTTTCATGCTGCTATTTTGCGGTCGGTACGGCTAAAGTTGCAGTGTAATTTAGAAACGATGTAAAACACAAATTTTCTAATGACAACAAGCATTTGTATTTCAACCATTCGTTCGTCTATCGTGAATGACCACATGATTCTTTTTTTAAACATTTTTTCATTGAGCTCTTTCACAGAGTGTTCTGACTGATTGTGAAATTTTTCATTATCTCATAATTTTTTTCCTACTTTGATGTAATTATGTACAATAGTGTTATAACCGTCCTACTAGGCGTGATTCCGTGTCTACGATCGTCATTATGACTCAATGTATATTTGCACTGTAGATATATTTACGAGGCAATATGAGTGTAATCGAACACGTGGAAGACATTTTTTCTCCATGCGAACCGAACTAATATATCTGACGTAGAACAGAACAAATATGCGTCGATGTGTTTCATAGAATGAGACGTAGTGAGTCATACTGAGGAAGGAAAATATGTTATGAGTGCTTTCGTCGGCGCAAGATGACATCATATTTAAACGAAAGTCAGGTTTGACATTTTCCAATTTCTATGAATTGTATCTACTATTTGTATTTTGTATTCAAATGCGTGATTCCGATACTGAATAAAGGATATTTCATAAGTTTTAAGAGATATTTCGTCATATAATATCGTATTAATAAAAGGACGGTAGTGCCATTCGTCTGACTCTATATTCAGACTAAGTAAGTGCCTATACATCAAGTTGTTTTCTTTACTATAGAAAATTTTTTAAATCACCAAAATCGATTATGTGTACTATTCATTAGTATGAAGGTTTTTTTTCATTCAAAAATATCTAAACTAGGTTTCAGTTTTTCTGCCAGAGTATTTTGAACGATTCCACTATATATAGTGTTTACCATCTGATAATCTTCGATGATCGTAACCGATCGTTAAACTATGCTAAAGTTTCATTAGAAAATTGTCGATTTTGTCCTTTTGAAAAATGATTTCATAGTAAGGATAGACTTTATTCATTTGAAGATTAACAGTCAATATCATTAATGTCTATGCCATTCCCCACTAAAACCCTAGAGTGTGACGGTCGTCGTTGTCATAAATGTGGCAAATGTCGAGATCATGGTGTCCGTGCGGGTGCTCGCGAGGGCGCTGCGGCCGGTGCTCTGAGTGTAGGCGCCCTTGCTGGTGTCTCGGTTTTTCTTGTAGCTATTCTAGGTCCATTTGGTGTTACTGGTCTTCTTATTGCTATGGGTGGTGCTGCTCTTAGTACGATCGGTGGCGCTACTGTCGGTGCTGGTGCGGGCGCGGCTTTCGGCTCTATTGGAGCCGAATTTTGTGGAGTTGGCGTATGCAAATGTAGCAAACGTCAAAGGATGCTATAGTTTTTTTTTAGTTTTATCTGTTTCAGGGATCTTTTTTCATTATGTAATTTGTATATATTTAAAAATAAAGTGCAATGAAAGAAAGTTTGCAGATATCAAATTGTTACCATTTGTCAATAGCTACTGTTTTCTATTCAGAAATGTTAGCCTGTCTTGTGGATGTGATGCTCAATGTGACGACTAATTGAAATTTTATTGTTGTTTTTAAAACTGTTTAAAAAAAGCATCAAGACTGACAATGAAGTGTAACGAATTCACTGAATGCTTATGCGTAATAACTGTTAGCTGCATATATGGGCCCTGCTTATCAACAAAAATATTTTTGAAAAAGCAATTTTCCATTGTAAAAATATGGCATGCGCTTTGTACTCTAGTAGAATAATCGAGACCATTCGTATTAAACACTATGTATATTAATAGAAAAAATTTAATTGAAAAATTAAATGTTTAAGTCATTGAATGACGTATTTCTTGCCGTCTCGCTGATCCCACACTTGCTTGAAATTTATTCAGAGTAGTAACTGAATGAAATATACAATAGATTCAATCAACAAAACAAAAAACAAAGATATTAGTATACAACAGTGAAAGCGAAACGTACCGTCAGGCCTAAATAATCAAACTGGTTTCCTTCTGCTAGAACATATAGGATGGATAGGGTGCGGGTGTGGACAACAACATCACACCCAAACCCACACCCACACCTTCATTTCAAATCTATTCAAAATAATTTTTTTTTCAATATTATATCAGCATAATTACTAGAATAGTAGGATCAAATTAAACAACTTTCATATAATGAACTGCTTCATTTTTGAATACTTTGATTGTTCTACCTAACAATTCGATTATTCACGTCGTAATATCAATAAAAATATTTTTTGTTTTTCTAGATTATATGATCAGTATTTCTTTTAATAAGTCTGTATCAACATGAACTTTTTTTGAATTGAAATTATGAAAAAAAAACATAGTTATTCTTCAATCTAGGGTGTAGGTGTGCGTGCGTGTGAATGTAATTGAGTATTTCTGTAAACACCCACACCCACACCTCCCACCCACATCCCACACCCCACACCTACACCCACACGCACATCCACACCCTAAATTAGAAAAAAATCGATTCAAATCAGATTATTCGGTCGTTTTTTTACATGGGAAGTGTAAAGTGCGCCAGATATGAGACACGATTTATCAAAAAGACACCGGCAAACTATAGTAGAATCTGTTTGTATATATTGGCTATCTACTACTGCAATCGATGTCTTATGAAGTGAATCGTCATAATACTAAATTGTATTTTAATTGGTAGATAAAGTTATCATCAATACATTTGATTGAGAAATACGATTAACGACAGTAAGACGTCGCATAAGAGCTGGTGATACGTGGTTTGTCGTACTAGAGCAAGAATAGTCTGTATTTTTGTTTGTAGAAGTTTTTCAGGAACTAGGACGTAGGGTGTCAGTGTGGGTGTGAGTCACTCACTCGACTTCGATGACGTCCATACCCGCATCCATCCATACACCCACACCCACACCCATTTTCAGGCTCTGATAACTGACATATACAGAGCAAATATACTTTTCTGCGTCATGCTTTCAGGTTGTATGAATAACACGGAAGTAGAGTCGAAACTTACGTAATATTAAGGTAATCAACTTCATATATAAGCGCTCGATAGCCATGGAGATTTTTTCTATTCTTAAATCGTGTCGCGCATTAATTTTACTTTAGTCTACCACTAACCGCGGCAATGAGCAAATTGATGACTCTTCGATTGGTAAGTGCGTTAAAACCTTTTAGAAGCTGCTTATTGCACTCGATATCATCTGTCTCAACAACTGTTGAGAAGTTTGATCAAGAGAAGACGAGCATTGAAATTCGTCGATGCTGCACACATCAAGAGCTTGATGATTGTGTGCGTCTACAGCAGAATGTATGGCACTTTAATGATCTTGATGCCGTACCACGTCGAGTATTTCTCATTTCTAACCAAATTGGCGGCGCAGTGCTAGGTGCATTTGCGTCTCACAATTCGCAACCGACGTTAATGGGCTTTGTTTGGGCCTTACCAGGTGTTCATCGAGGGACAAATCAAGATGTTTACATACGTGCCGAAATGATTGCGGTACACACTGGTGCTCAAAACTTGCGAATAGCACAACGATTGATGTTGGCAGTGCGCGATTATGCACTCTCACAAAATATCAATTTAGTGACGGGTGTTTTCGATCCGACCGACATGAAACTGGCTCATATGTACATTCATCGTTTGGGTATGATTGTGCGTCGCTACATACCTGCTTATTATGGCTTATCTTCGTCGCCAATTCAAAATAAGCTGCCGACAGATCGACTATATCTTGAATGGCGATCCGACTCATCGCACATGCATCAACAATCGAAACTCGCTTCATGTAACGACCTATTGTCTTCTGACCGAAGTTATATTGATGAAGTATACATTCCAGCAGAAATGGCCAAATGGAAACACATAGGAGACGCGCGCGCTGCTAAAGCTCAAAAAGATATTCGTGAAAAACTTATAAGAGCTTTCGAACAAGGTCTCGCCATTGTTGGATTCCGTTGTGAACAAGATGGTACTGGTGTTTATCAACTTGGATACTATAAACGTATTCAAAATAATAAATGAATTAAACAAGTTTTGTTTTTACTATAAACACTCCGAAACTGTTATCATTTCAGAGGCGCTACTTAAAGCGTTAAAGAGAATCTTCGTCATAAATATAATGTTAAAAACACCAAGAGCACAAAAAGCAAAAACATATCTCGGATCGATCTTTGTTGTTGACAGACGTTGGAAAATATTATCATATCAAGCATGAGAATATTCCAGATATTTACCAAGATGCTGGTAGAATTCCTTCTGAAAAAGGAGAATTAAAAGCAGCATTAGATATTTTTGCCAACACTCACAATTTTTGACAAAAACACAAGGAAGAAAAAGCTGGATGTTTACCTCTAAAATTTTTCGAAAGCTCTGAAATTGCAAGGAGCTCCAAAAGTTTTTAGAATTCTCAGAATCCATACAAATATATGGTAACTATCATATTCTTGAGTATATGAATGATGTCAGATAGAGTTTACGGACAACATTCAAGACACTTAATTGATTGAGTTCCTTCTAAACTCAAAGCAAAATGTTTCCTGCATGATTCGATGTACAGAGAGCATATCAAACCGTCGAAGAAAAATTTCTAAAAGTCTAACACGTAAGATTGGTATCGTTAGAAAAAGCGAAAAAACTGAGTATTACTCTAGAATATGAGCGCGGGGTATAGTGTAGTTCCAAGCAAAATTTTTTCAAACGAAATTCCCTGCAAGAAGAACTTTTTTGTTCTTTCTTTAGTTTCTTCTTTCGTTCTCTCATTCGCGATGACGTATATGTATATAAATAAGCTTACGAGAGAACGAAAAGAAAAACTTCGTGTACATACATTGAGAAGAATGTATAACATTCTTCACGATGATAATTCATAATTGAAAGATTATTTAAAGGTTTAATATATATAAAAAATTTATAAATTCTGAGTATTAAAATTAGTTTTGAAATTTAACAATTTATTAGACGACTAAAATATTTTTTGTCATCTGAAACTTTCTTTTACTTAATTCATATTCAAAAATCTTTTTTTTTTATTTCTGTTTCTTGAAAATCGCATAAGTGTATGACACTTAATTCAATTAGGTAGAAGGAGCGTCATGTTTCAAGCTGAATCAATCCGTTTACTGTCTACCATATGCATAAAACTTGATGAAAAAGGAATATGTTCTCGGTGAATAAAACAATGGAATTAAACTTAAATAAGAAAACAAGAATGACGTACGAGATAGAACACATAAGAATAATTCTTTTATAGCCGAGCGGCTAAAGAGCGTGGAATAACGCGATGCCGCTTCGAATCCAGTGCGAAGCAGTAATTTTTTTCTGTTCTGTACATGTTATTCCATTGAATTTTGTTATAATATTTTTAGCTTATGATCAGAATTACCCTTTAGAGATCTCAATGTGAGCAGTGGTAATTGATCACACTGAATCCGAATATGCTATTTTTATTCATCGATAACATAATCCTTTTTCATCAAATTTTATACATATGGTAGACAGCAAACGGATTGATTCAGCTTGAAAAAAATGAAGCTTCTTCTACTTGATTGGATTAAGTGTCATACACTTATGCGATTTTCAAGGAAAAGAAATAAAAAAAACAAGATTTTTGAATATGAATTAAGCAAAAAAACGCTTCAGATGACAGAAAATATTTTATTCGTCTAATAAATTGTTAAATTTCAAAACTAATTTTAATACTCAGAATTCATAGAACTTTTATTATATAATTAAATCTTTAAATAATCTTTTAATTATGAATTATCATCGTGAAGAATATTATACACTCTTCTCAATATATGTACACGAAGTTTTTCTTTTCGTTCTGTCGTAAGCGTATATGTATATATATATGTCATCGCGAATGACAGAACGAAAGAAAAAACTAAAGAAAGAACAAAAAAGTTCTTCTTGCAGAGAATTTTGTTTGAAAAAATTTTGCTTGGAACTACACTATACCCTGCGCTCATATTCTAGGGTAATACTCAGTTTTTTCGCTTTTTCTAACGATGCTAATCTTACGTGTTAGACTTTTAGAATTTTTCTTTCGACGGTTTGATATGCGCAATATAGAATACAATTTTTCCAGTTCTCTTTCTGTCTGGTCACTGGTTTATTAATTATCGGGAATCACAAAAATGTCTTATTTTCAAGACATTGCATCAATTGGAAGAAAGAGTGAAATGCCTTTTTTCTTTCCTTCTGATTTAAAACGGAAGTTCTGCCGATTCGAAATGAAAAGTTTACTCTGTGGAACGGCGCATAGAATTACTTTTGTTGTTGAAGAGAAATAACAATTTTTTTTGTCTGAGGGTGTGGGGTGTAGGTATGGATATTTTCTTAACCACACCCACACCCAAGATAGTAACTTATACTTTATAATCAAATCGACGTACTTGACGTTCTGCTAGTTAAAAATTTTCTCTTTTGATTAGATCTTTTCAATAGGTGAGATGCATTCGCACATATAGCAGAAAGAATCTAAATTCATTGATGCCAAATAGTATTGTCTCATGATCGCTCGCTAAATTACACATAAAACGAAAAATAAGCGTTAGATAGTTAGCATTACCAAGCGCTTACTTTACTAGGTAACCTTAAGAGATTCATTACCACCGAAGTAAGCTAGCGATGGACTAAATATCGAATATTATTGCTAGTCATGTCGGATAGACGTGTCTAGTCAGAGTCTGAAAAAGCCCTCCTCCTGAACTAATCTGAAACTTACTATGTCCTGGAATCTCATCTTTATTCTATCATCGACAGGCAGCCGTTTACATATCAGTGACAGTCTTTTTCTAGAGAGAGATCCTTCAAGGACAGGTTCAACATCAGTTAGATATTAAATTATCATCTAGAATGAAGACTAGTGCTGGACGAGGACTTTTTGAGACTCTGACTAAACACTTCAAGACGCCATGACTCCCGTCAAAAAATGATTTGAAACTGCAAAAAAGAAGCGTGTTGGATACGGTTCACACGACACACTCCAATGAGATGTATTTGACTAGTCCGAACGAGTCTGACATTAAATATATTATGAAGTAGAAGATCAGATTTGGACAAACGTATAATGTTTTACTTATCTGTCATTTAAAGAATTGAACCAAACAGACGATAAAACTTCTTCTAATATGTCTCAATAAACATTTGTAGTAAGGATTTCATAGGATTTAAAATTTTTTAAAATTTCAATACCTAGAAAAAAAACGCTTATTTTAGAACACAATTATGCAGATGAACTTCAATAAGACCAGGGTATGAGTGTTGGATAGTGTATGTTGTGGGTGTCAGACGGATGACGATGAAACCAACACCAATCTAACATACCTACACCCGTACCTTAGTACTTCTACGCACTTTTAAGTTGTCTCTCAAAAGCATGACGTGTTGGTTCCTTCATCGGATTTATAGCTGTATTTTCAGCTTTAAAGAATGAAGAATGACATCAACGCACAAATCAGTATGGCTATATGTAATAAGCTTACTGCATAGCTTTGACGTCTGTGTTAATCTGGGAGGACTCATTTGAATTGCAACTCTAATTAGATAAAATAATGTCGATGACCTATTAGATGTATGCCGATATGCATTGAATAATTAAGAATACTTTTTGCAATATTATCATTTTAGAATGCTTTGAATTGGCAAACATCAAACGAATACCATAATGTCGCATAATGTCGTAGAATAATTAGTACTAACAAACTATGGCTCAGATAAACGTTATTAATCTTTCTTCTACAATCCTAATATCTTTCGTCAATATAAAGTATAGACATTATATTTTATTGTGAAATATAACTGTATAACTGTTTTGTACATTGATCCGGCATAATAATGAGAGCGTATTTTTGAGACAATGTTTGAGTAGAAGATTTTCAAGAGTTCGAGCCTTGAAGCTTGAAAAATTTGTGAAGTGTCTATTTTAAAGTGCGTTGTATTTTCTCTGGCTTTAACTTCACTAAAAGAATTTTTCGCCGATGACAACATTCACTAATGCCGATTTCTTCGAATGAAATCATAATCGAAAACTATTGGATCAAATATAATTCATTCTGTGTCATGTGTTACTATAAATTAACTAATGTATTGTCAAAGCAATTAATTATCAGGGAGTTAGTAACTAACGAGCTTGGTAACCAACTGAATCAGTGAAGATATAAGTTGGTGACTAACTCCGTTGTTAGCAACGTCAGATGATAGTCAACTTAGATGGTTGCTAACGGAGATCACAAGAAGTGCAGACGCGGGTGTCAATCGAATGTAATTATAGGTATGAGTGGAACTGAGGTACCAGTTCATGTGAGCTCTGGATTTTCAGTTCGTTCGTACTACACCCACACTCAGATGATCACAAAACTCAGATAGTGATTGACTCTTTCAGTAGTAGACTAATTAAATATCATCAAAATTTACACATAAAAAGGGTTTCATTTAGGAATGCACCAGTTCCAGTTTTAGAGTGATAGACTAGTCCCAGTTCCTAGTTAGAACTGAAACTTGTGCATTTCACCAAAAAGACAATAATGCGTATAATTGTGAGCACTAACCATGTGAACATGTGCAAGGCTGAAACTCGTAAGCGAAATAAAGTTTTCAACAATTACCAGGTTTGTAATTGCAATGAGTTAATCCAATAAAAAGAATTTAGAAAAAAGCACAATACTGGTAAATTACCTATACTACAAAAGAGTGTGAGTGTAGAGAAAAGGGGTGAGGGTGGGATGTGAATATTAGTGGATCTAGGTGTGCCCAAACAACTGATCTACTCATACTCCTACATCCACACTCACACTCTATATTCACAACCACCCTATACCCCACAGCCACAGCCAAACCCACACCCATCACCCACCATACAGCCATATTCACATTCACCACACCCTATACACTCACATCCACACCCAGAAAAAAAACAGATAACTCTTGAAGCCAATCATCGAATTTTCAGAGCATCTATTGTTTTTGCTCTTTTCACAGCTTGTTTTAAGCTTTGTCGATTAAACGCATCTTTTTTCCTCTAGCTGCACAAATATCTGCCAAAAAAAGTCCAACAATAAAGATAATAATATTTTATTGCCATGTTTCTTTCGTAAGCAATACATTTTATTGTTGCTCTCTTCAAGCTCGCCTCTTCAACAAATATCAGTAAAGTGATGAAGTAATCTATAAAAGGAGACGACTTCTACTGCATTTGCAGCGACTTTTGACTGTTTTATCATTTCAATTCAACTACTAAGCGCAATCAAGTCTGAAATGCAGCAACAGGTAAGGAATCAATCAGAAAAGAGGAAATCAAGAATCTGTGTATCAGGGCCATCTGGATGTATGTAGGCGTAGGAGTGACTGCTTCAGTGTTGATGAAAGTGAAGGGAACACTCGTAATCGCAACTCGGCACCGATCTCACAGTCACACTCAGACATCCAAAAGCAAAACCATGGGTGTGGATGCTAGTCTTGATTCAACATACACCAGCACCCAGATCCTCATAGCCACAGCCACATCCTATGAGAACGAGACTTGATATCTCATCAATAACTATCGATCAATGTTTTCGAGCATCTGTGGAGTTCATTTATATACCCTTCAGCGAATCATAACTAACACTGTGATTCAGGGACTTTATCGTATATCGATACTCACAATAAAACTGTTTTAGTTTCAATCGAATTCGGGTCATATATAGTCAGGTTATGGAATTATGAAAGCGGGAGTTTTCAACTCATAAAGTCTTTACCTTCGTAGGTTATCAAGTTCGTAGTGGAACAAAACCGCTCATATTGTTTCTCTGCTGTACGTAGTCGAATAGCGACACGGTTTCGTAAGCATCATATATGATTCATACGATTGAAAATGCAGTGAACGAAGAGAATGAAGAAAAAGACGACCTTCGTGGGACTCGAGCCCACATCTTCTGCTACCGGGACAAATATCCTAAGCCAATTAAACCAGAAAGCGTGTCTTAATCTTGGTTTAGCATCGCAGTGTATCATCATTGACGCTAACACGTTTTTGTTGCTGATCTAGATTTATTGGCTGGAATGTGAGCGTGAGTAAGAATTAAGAGAAGAGCCATATCGACGCTGCGTCGTTCAAAAAAGAACATAAGAGAGATAAAAAATTAAAAGTGAATGATATAGTTGTTTACTTTAAATGGCTCGAGAGAGAGAAAAACTATACTACTGTAGTGAATATATTGACTGCTGAGTCAGTTTTATGGAATTCACATATTTTTCGAAGAAAATGGTGAGTGTCAGTTTAAGAGCGAGTTTTTGTGGCTCCCATTCCTGCTAAACCCCTCTCCATTACAGACCGTAGCAATGAAGAATAACAGGCGTCACATTTTTTAGATTTTGTTGCAAAATTGATCAAGTTATAATTTTGAAAAATAATAAATATTACTACTTGTGAGTTGATTAACATAAATAATAGTGCTTGAGACCTGCTGTAGATATCATGAATATGTAAAACAGACATATTTGTCAATTAATTCAATGATTATAATAAGAGGAATGTTAAATTAAGAAAAATAGAATTTTAAAAAATGAAAATTCTTTTCGAAATGCAGAAATTAGAGAAGTCATTACTCTGAATATCAATTATCCTGCAAGCACCTATAATCTACGAGAGATTCATCACTTTATGTGTTATGTATTAGTTTAATTAGACTAGATAGTATATATGAGTTCTATATTTCAGCCTTAAAGGAGCTGCGCTAACAAGCTTTTTCATGAAATAAGAGTAACAAAAATGGTTTTGATAAAACCAGGAATCTTGATACTCATCTTGTCACAGGCATATTGTCATTTTCAGGCATTAACACAGGACTTTTTGTCACTTTCAATCGCTTGGTTTCAAATTTTAGACATTTTGAAACTTGGGGACCCAATACTAACCCTTTGATCAGAATATAAGTAATGCTATAAGAATATTTAGCTGGGCAAAGCGAGTACGAAGAAAGTTGATGATATCATGGGAATATAAAGCATATTTTTAACATGCTCAGAATATGCAATTTTCATAGGGAATACCGAATATGGGAATCTACATTTTCAACTCTTGAAGAATAATGGTTCTTTTCATTCCGCTCCTTAACATGCCGCCAACGACTCATTTCCTATATCTAGTACTTGTAATATCCTATCTTCAGTGTAACTCATCCTTTCAGTAGAGGGTTAGCAGCGTTTGCTCTGCGTTACTTGTTTTATAAATGAGATAAAATGAGTTAGAAAAACTGCATTACTATTTAGAAAGCATTTTATATGACAACATCAAATAGCAACTACACTTGCGCCTAGGGGTGTCAGGGTTCCCGTTCCTCAAGGGTTCCGTTCCCAAGGAACGGGAACCCACTTGGTTATTCCTTTCTATGCATGTTTGAACGCGTTTGAGTTCATAGACATACTTTTTCTTTCGTTTTGAGCAAGTCACTCAGGGTTCCCGGGTTCCTGGGAACGGGAACTCGTACCGGGTTCCGGGTTCCTAGGAACGGGAACCCAGTTGAAAATTCATTTCTGTGCATTTTTGAATACACTAGAGTTCATAGACATACTTTTTCTTTCGTTTTGAGACAAGTCTCTCCGGGTTCCCAGGAACGAGAACCCGCATCGGGTTCCGGGTTCCTAGGAACGGGAACCCGCCCCGGGTTCCTAAGAATGAGGAACCCTATTGCAAATTGTTCAGAATAGAAGTTTAGGTGTGGTTCCTCATTCTTAGGAACCCGGGGCGGGTTCCCGTTCCTAGGAACCCGGAACCCGGTGCGGGTTCCCGTT